GGCCCACAGAGCCCGGGATCCGTTCTGTCTGGGGCTGGGCACAAACCACTGAGGTGCCATGTGGGGTCATGAAATGCCGGGACCCTTTTAGTGTCTGAGTGACGGGCAGCAGCAGAGCTGGGCTGGGCCTGCCTGGGGGAGGCACCCTCAGCACCGAATCCGGGCTCGTCCCAGCCCTGGCACCTCTGGGCTCACAAATTCCTGCAGCGCCTACAGACGAACAGAGAGACGACTAGAGTTGTTGTTGGTTTCTCAGGTGCTACAGGACCACTTGTTGGTTTTTGAGGCTTTTTAAAGATACTAACTCATGCGGCCCCCTCTGAGACCACTGGGCCCGGCGGCTCCCAGCCCTGGCACCTCTGGGCTTGACTCATCAGCTGGGAAAGTAACAAACGTGCTGGAGCCCAGCCCCTCTCCGGTGACAGGTAAAGCCCTGGCCACCCCCAGCCGCTCTGTGCTGGGGAGCAGTGTGGGGCTGCCGGGTGCTGGTGAGGAGAGGGCAGGTGGCCCAGGGGTTTGCTAGCGCCACAGGCCTGGTTTGCTGGCCCCTCTCTCCCGTGCAGAGACAGAGCTGCCTGGGACAGATAACAGAGTTTGTGCTGGATCTGCAAAAGAGTCAAGAAGTCCTGTGGCACCTTATAGACTAACATGTATTGGAGCATAAGCATAAGATTTCGTGGGCCTTCGCTTATGCTCCAATACATCTGTTTAGTCTATAAGGTGCCACAGGACTCCTTGTCACCTGGGCCAGATAGAGACTTTGGCTTGGTTCAGTTATGACTGGAGGTGCAGTCACAGAGCTCTCAGAGCTGAGCACTTCTGGGGACAGTGTGTGGGGGGGAGGAGGGGGAAGGAAGAGAGGGGTAAGCCTGGCCTGCACTAGCCACATGGTTCCCCACTCAGAGCTGCCCTCTCAGAGCTGGTGGGACCTTGAGGGATGGGCTGAGGGCATCGGGGGGAGGGAGGTGAGCAGAAGGTGCCGGGGCCGGGCGATTGGGGACGGAGCAGTAGAGGGAACGGTGGCTTAGAAACAGCAGCAGCCAGAACATGGGTCTGTGGGACTGTGTGTCAAAGACTTTTCTCCAGACCTCCCCCACTATCCAACCTGTCGCCCACTCCCAGTGTCCGGTCCCCAGAGACTGGGGACACTCAGATCAGGCTGGCACATCCCTGCCCATCCTGGCTCAGAGCCACTGACAGAGCGACCCTCCGTGAACGGATCTTGCCCTTTCTGACCATGCTGTGACTTTGGCCTTCACCCCACCCCCGGCAGAGCCCCGCCGGCCGACTGCGCTGCCTGACGAAACGCTGCCTTTATGTGGGTCAGTCTTGTTGCCTGGTCACGTCATTGGGTGCCCCTGGCTCCTGTGTGCGGTGAAGGGGAAATGACACTTCCTGACTCACGGTCTCTCCTGCCCACATTCTCCAGGCCTCACGTGGCCCCAGGGGCAAGGAGGGGGTGGGAGATGGGGCAGGTGACAAGGGGAAAGGTGACAGGAGTATGGGGGGCAGAACCCAGGGGGCAAAAGGGCAGCAAGAGGAGGGCGGTTATCAAGGGGGGAGGGGCATGGGAGTGGGTGCCAGAGATGGGCAAGGGAAGGAGCAGTCCCGGGGGAAGGGCCGAGCAGAGCGGGGGGAGGGGGCTGAGCAGAGGGGCAGAGACAGGCAGGGCAGAGAGCAGAGGGGCAGGCACCAGGGGGCAGAGTGGGGACAAGGGAGCAGGGCAGCACGGGGGGGAGAGTTGGTGTGGAGAAGGCAGGGCACAAGGGGGGCAGAGGAAAGTGAATAGAGGGGTGGGACCCAGAGGTTGGGAGGTGAGAAGGGGAGGGGAGGACACCAATGGGCTAGAGGAGGAGGGAAGGGAAGGAGCAAACATCTGGGGGCACAAAGGGGTCAAGGGCAGGGACTTGCACCAGGCTGGCAGATGGGAGAGGTGGGCCCAGGAGGCCAGGGGAGGGGAGCACAAAAGGGCTGGCACCAGTGGTTTGGGGACGGTGCAGGTGTCCGGAGGCAGGGAGGAGGGGAGGGGCAGAACTAAGGGGAAGGTGGAGGGGGGTAGGCAGGAGTGTGAGGCAAGGGGCAGTGTGAGGGAAGGGCTCATGCTGAGGCCTAGGTGGGGCAGATGCCTGGGGCTAGCGGGCACAAGGAGCAGGAGAAAGGGCAGGTGCCGGGGCTCAGGGGTGCAGTCTGGAGTGGGACAGGCCCCAGGGCCAACAAGGAGACAGCTATTGGAGGTTGAAGGGGGCAAGGGAAGGGAGGGCACCAGAGGGCAGGGGGAGGGGCAGGTGCCAGGAGACAGAAGGGGGAAGGGAGGGGCAGACAAAAGGAAAGGGGAGGGGAGGGAGAGGTGAGTGCCAGGACAGAGGGGGTGAAAGGAGGGGGGCATGAGGAAGGTGGGGGGTGGGGAGCCG